GGATGCTGCAGGCAGCAGGGCAGGGCTGTGCTGAGGTACCCACCCTGCCAGAGCCACCAGCGCTCAGCTAAGGACCTGGGAGCAAAGCTGAGATGGGCACTGACGGAATGCCTCTGCTCATCCTGGGCTCCGGAGCCAGCAGGGAGGGATGGGCATCAGTTAGAAAAGAATAAGGTCAGGTTGGGAAAGATGCCAGGGAGAGCGGTGGTTAGGCAAAACCCGTGGGTTTTTGCAGGTTTTGTGGCACCTCCAGGCAGAAAGCAGGAGCTGCATCCCGCCCATCCTGAGCCCCAGCTGGGAACAGCTCAGGGCTGGCTTAAGCAGGCAGCACCAAGGCTTGCAGAGCCATCTACTGACAAAGCGATGCAGCTCAAGGAGGGACTTATTTATTTATCTATTTTCTCTCTCCTGTAGGTTTTTTTCAGCTTTGTCCATGCAGCTCAAGGAGGGACTTATTTATTTATCTATTTTCTCTCTCCTGTAGGTTTCTTTCAGCTTTGTCCATGCAGCTCAAGGAGGGACTTATTTATTTATCTATTTTCTCTCTCCTGTAGGTTTTTTTCAGCTTTGTCCATGCAGTTGAGGGTTTTTTTTGCAATACAGCCCATGGGCAGCATGGGTGTGACAGTGTGGTCTGGCTCCTGCACACAGCTCAGCCACAGGAACTGTTCTACTCTGCCAACTTGATACCACCTCCTCTCTCTAAGAAATGTTCCAACATTGCCCCATCTTTAGCTATGGATCTGTTGTGCAGGACAGAGAAGGAAGAAATGAAAAGTAATTTGAAGTATCCTTGGAAGCCAGGGGACAGATCCTCCCCTCGAACAGGAGCTCTGCTTGGAATCACAGCACTGTGAAATAATAGATAATGTGAACACAGGCCTGGAAGCTGTGCTGGAGGACACAGCAGCATCTGGAGCAAGAGGGACAGGCTGAAGAGAGCTGTGCTGAGGCCACAGGGCTGCAGTCCCTCAGTTACCAATGAGGCAGGGGCACATCTGCTCTAACAAAGTTTCTTTCCATGCCTTTTCTCGGGGCAGTTTTATCTGCTGTAAATTACAAAGCCCCAGCACTTTTATTTTGCATCAGATCATACGGATTGCTGCTTCTGATAGCAGCAGAAACAAACCTCTTCTGCCTGACCTGGGTCTGCAAAACAGATTGTGTGCTTATTCCAGGACAATGCCCACTTCTTTACTTGTGTGCAAACAGCAGACTTCAGAAGGAGCATAAATCTCCTTTGCAAAATGCTCTGTGCCTTTGGGGTAGAAATGTGCCTTTCCTTTGAAGCTATAAACAAGTGCTGTGATTCTTGGGTTTGCAGGGTGGATGCTTCACAGAAGCTAGAAAGGGCTGCTTCTGTAGCAAAATGTGGACATTAGGATGGAGTCTGAGAGGATCATAGAATGGTTTGGGTTGGAAGGAATCTTTAAAGATCACTTTATTCCAACCACCCTGCCATTAAATTTTTCACTGGATCAGGTTTCTCTTAGTCCTGTTGAAGCTGACCTTAGGGTGACTGTCTCTCTCCTGACTGCTGTATTTGGTGCTCATCTTGTCCAACAATGGGTGGCTCATCTCCTCCCTGCTCCCACCCTGGCTCACACTGCTGTTTCCAGCTGTTTGTGACATCAATCCACTGTATCTATCTGGATCTAAGAGCATCTTTCCCAGCAGGAGCTGGACTTGTTTTTGCAGTTTGCAGGACCCCTGGCAATTCAATTTGTGACACTTTGGCAGAGGTGAAATGAATCAGAAATAAAGATGAAAAAAATAGTAACCAGGCTAAAAACATCATGATAGCCATTTCCCTAGGAAAAACAGAGGGGGAAGATGAAAGCTTTTTAAAGGAAGGTGGAAGAAGAAAGCTTTTAAAAGGAAGGTGAGAGAGCTGAGTGTTTGTGTTATTTTTGGCTTGCCCAGAGTGGTACAGGGTGGAAGACTGCTGCTGGCTTATTAGAATGTGCAGAAAAGGTGAAACTGGGCCGTGATACTCCTGACACAAAGACTCTGTCCATGGCACAGGGCACATGTCTGGCCTCTTTTCCCTGAGCCTGGCTTTCATACTGGCATATTTACACTTCTGGGGACAGGGGCTGAGATGCGGGCAGGTGCTATGTATTGCATAAGTAATAAACATGTTAATTCTCTCAAAAAAACCCAACCATGTGTGAAATAGCATGTTACATACTCAAAAAAGAGTCTCTACTTTGTCCATTATATTGAAATGCACCTTCATTTGTGTATCATCAGTGCATTTCAAGACCAAAGTGTGAAAAATGCCCTTTATGTATTTGTTACTTACTTATAACATTTTATTTGTTTGATTATAAGGATTTTTTTATGACCCAATAGCAAACCTGGGCTGAAACATGGTATTTCTGGAGTATTTTTATTAAGGCAGCTGTGGCTGGAGTGCTTTATTTGCCTGTCTGATGTGAGACATCTGTCTTTTGCACCACATTCCCTGTAAGATTTTATTGTCTTATTTGGTGTTACATTAAAGAACGTTTACAAGTCAGAGACATTCTTCAGTGCCATGTAACAGCAGTGTGACAGTGCTGTTCTCAGCCTGCTGCCAGTGTGAGACACCCACAGGGACATGGTGCTGCAGGTGGAGAGGTGCCCTTCCTTGCTGGATGATGAGAACAGTCCTTCACTCCTTTCTGGGAAGGTCTGCATGGCTTAGGAGAAGAGGGAGATGGTAACAAATTAGGCTCAGGAAAGTGTTGGAGCAAATCAGACAGCAGATCATGGAATCATTTAGGCTGGAAAGGACCCTTGAGATCTAATCCAACCACTGACCTAACACACCAAGCCCACTACTGAATCGTGTCCCTGAGTGCCATGTTCTACACATCCTTTAAATACCTCCAAGGAATGGTGGCTCCACCACTTCCCTGCTCTGAGCTGGGCCAGTCATCTTCATCTGCTTTGCACCAGCTTGGTCTGAATTCTGAATACAGATTTGTTTTCTGTTTTCACTTGACATCTTTCCCAGAACTGCTGCGTGTCAAAGACATCAGGTGACAAACACTTGGCAGGGCCACCTGCTTCCCTCCAGCCCTGCTGAGACCTCCCTGCACTCCCAGGAAAACATCTCAGGAAAACATCTCTGAAGAACTGCCAGAGAGCATTGGAGGCTGGGTCACTGTAGGCTGCTGTGACATTTGCAGCCTCCTGTCTCTGCTTTGTCCTCAACAGAATGCAGTGGAGAGCACCAAGATCACATGAAGGTAGCACTGGTCAGTGTGGGAACCACACTGAGGAGAAGGACATCTCTTCAAACAACCTCCTACATGTTTGTTTGCAGCCAGCCTTGCTCAGCTTTCATCTTAGATCCATCTTCTCCATCTAAAATCCTTTTTGAATGAGTGCTATGACCAAGACACCAAGGAAAAAGATGGAGTTTTTTTATTGCCAAATGCTCCTTTCCTTAGGAGACTTCTTGTGCGATCTTAATTTGACCTGGTTTGGGATGTGTTTTTTGCAGTAATGTGACATCGTCTTAGGCAATGAGCAGACTGAACTTTGTGGACCAACCCTCCTGCTGGATGTGCAAAAATGGCCAAGTGCCCTCCTAAGTGGGGCTGTGATCCCATGGAAATAATTTTTGGCATAAGGCTAACTCTGTGCCTTTAGTTTTGCTTGGAGAGCTTTCTTAATATTTACACCTAGGAAAGGATGCAGAGAGAGAAACACATCCCTCTAGAGAGCAATGCTGGAAGGCAAATTATTCATGCATTTACTTAACACAGGATCTTTCCTACACTATAATAACTTTAATATTCCTACAAGAAATTTCCCATTAAAAACATCAGGTTCTGTAAAATTTCCATGGTTAATTAAGGGTTGTGCATGCCAGTGTTAATTATACTATGTTAGATTATAGTTAAAAAAGGTTTAATTTCAAAAGTTATGTAATTAGCGCAATTTAATCTTTGGCATGACTTCATTAAATCATTATGAACAGGAAAAGTATTTGAAAATTAAAAAATAATAATGTTTTTAATGCTCTTTTGAGGTTCATTGGCTTCCAGCTTTACTTGACTCTGCTATACCAGAACATATATGTTAGAAAGATTTCAAAATTTCCATAAACTTGTAAAAGTGAATTTCTATGTATGAATCATAGCCCAAGTTGTCCTGAACTGCTGCCATAGGTAGATGAGTAATAGGTGCTCTTTTTTAATATCATCTAATCACTAAACCAAGAGTTTTACCAGTGTATTTTCTATATGACAGGACTATCCAATATATGACTGAAGAACAACCTATGCAGGCTTTTTGCAATATATATTTGGTAAAAAATTTCAAATTAAGAATGAGTCTTGTGAAATTTCACTTTGGTCACTGAGGAAAAACTAGGACAAGGTTTTATATTTTTTAAAAAAATATTTTCTTGAAATAGTTTTCTTCCCTTTTACATTATACAATAAAGTATTTTAATCATGCTGCTGAAATGAACCCAAATACACACCTGCCAACAGCTCCTGCTGTAGCACAGGGGGCTGAAATGCTGCTTTAATCTCAACATTGACTAGTTTTTTTTTCCAGTGGTCACACAGAGTCAATTCATCTTTTATTAGTTCTGCTTTCTTCAGTATGTCAAGCATTAGTTGTGTAATTCCCCATGAACTTTTCTCCACTACAGAGTGGCTTTCCAGAAATATAGGTCTAGCATGGTTCTTCACATGTCCAGACTTCACCTTTCTGTATCTGCCTAAATTAGATCAGCTTTATTCTTCCCCTCTAGCAGCTTTCCTATACAGGCTGTTTCCTTTGTTTGCTGACAAAGTTTATTCAGTTTATTCTGAAAGAGACATGTCCATTCATGGCCCCTCCCTGAATTAGTAGAGAACATGTAAAACTTTAGTGATTTTCAGGGTCATCTTGTATGAAGACAAAGCCCAAGATCTGCTGAAAAGACTGTTCCTTGCTTCATGGACATCTTATGCAGACATGGGGCATGCAGAGAAGGAGAGCACAGATGCCTTGCATAATACAGAAAACACCTTATTTACAGAAATGGTGATTGAACAGTTCAGAATTCAAAGTCAGCTCAGATCAGAGCTCTTGCTAAAGCTGAAGCTCAGCAATCCTGTAAACTCTGAGCGTTGCACACCCTGGATGAGCTTCATGTAGGGATATGTTTCTGCCAGAGAGGAGGGACAGTCCCAGAGACGTGGCTCTGTGATCCTGACCCACAGAGCAGCTGCAGGAAAACACAGCTCAGCTACTCTCATCAGACATCTCAGAGCATGAGTGGAGAAGAAGCTGGAGAGTGGAGTTTGGGCATGGGGAGCCCACGGTTCTCCTGCTCCTTCTGCATCATTTCCCTGATGATTTCTCCTGGCTCAGGAGGTTCTCAGTGTCAGCATGAGGAAACACTCCTTCTCTGGGGTGAATTCAAGGAGGGGCTGCATGGTGGGAATGGATCAAGCTTTGCCTGTGATTAACAGAACTCCAGGCTTGGAAAATGATAAAATTTTCATGTTCTGGGTCATGTTTGATTCTGAAAAGCACAGGGATTTATTTCTGCCAGGTGATGAAAAACTGGCAGTTCAAAGGTTAACCTGGACAACCCTAAGATGTTTCATGACAGAGCTGCCAAGCAGGTGGGAAATAATTCCAGGTTAACAGTGAATCCTGCAAGCAGAGATGAGGAATCACTTTTCTTGGCTCAGCCCATGCAGAGGTGCTACAGACCCAGGAACAGAGCAGTTCACCCCCAAGCAGATACAGACCATATGCACAGACCCAGCATCACAAGTTATTACTTATTTTTTAACTTTTTTTGTTGGTTTTAGGGTTTTTTTTGTTTGTTTTGGAGGTTTTTTTTGTGAAACATTAGAGTACTTACACTTTATCTTTTGCCATATTTATTTAGTAATGATGCATCCAAAAAGGAAAGGAAGTATCAGCTGGTGTTCTTTAGCTCAAACAATATATTTCTTGTAAAACCTCACAAGCAATTCATATCTGATTAAAGTTGGGCAAAACACTTTTCCCCCCTAACTTCAGACCTGCCTTTCTATTATGCTTGTCATGAAGGAAAATGTTTGTTGTGAACAATAAAAGGAAAGTCCCACTTTCCTGTGAATAGCTGTAACATCAAACCTCAGGCTTTCATATAATGGGTTCCTGTTCTCTCCCTGGACTGAAGGGCAGCCTAAGTGAAACATTCCCAAGAAGAGATGTGGAAAAAAATCCCCTAGAAACAATAAAAAAAATTCCAAACAACCAAACACTCAGACTTTGTCTTGTGCCAAATCTCTCTGCTTCGCTTTTAACCTGTCTGCCAACAAATGCTCAGATTATCCCAGAGCAAGACACAGGATCCTTTTCCCTGCACCATAGCTTTCACAGGGAAAGCAGAGACCAAGCAGATGCAAAAATAAAAAGGAGTAGAATTTCTCTGTAAAAAGCAAGAGGACAAAGATATGCAATGTAAATGTGAAAGAGATGGATGACTCATTGACTAAAAGGGAAGATGCAGCCATTTTTACCATCATGTAAAGATTAATTAAATCATGTTCTGAATGGGGGCACTGATGGGGACTCCCTCTGTGCCTCTTCAACTCACTGTATCATTTTGGCTCTTCCTGCCAGGCAGGAAGAAAGAACTTTACCTGCATTGCTGAGCTGTGAGAGATCAGTTAATGATTGAAGAGGATTTTGAAGATGGGAAGTGTGCGGCAATAAAACTGGTAAATATCAGGTAGCTCAAGCTTTGCCCTCAGCTCACAAAGGCAGTCAAGCATCTGGACTTTTACATTTTCATTCTATTTGGAACATGCTCAGGTTGTGCTCTGAATCATACTTAGAGAAATGTTGCAAAAAACTACTGTCAAATAGTCGTAAATAAAAACATATTAAACCATAGAAATAAGAAATACCAGAGAAAAACAGTATTACGGAAACACTTCAGAACTGTCAAAAATACTTTTTCCTGGCTAGTGTGGGAAACATTCAGAAAATACTCAGAAAATATTTGAGTTTGGGTTTATCCAACCTTTGCTAGAGCAGCTGTTTAATCATACAGTTAGGTTTCGGGTATTCAAACAGAATAAAATGTGCTTTCAGTGGTCAAATTGTTCCTCTTTTGCATGTCTATTTATAAAAACGAAGAAATATAATTACAAAAATACCTGTGGTATTTTAGTTAAAATGTCTTTGCTTACTGTTATCTGTCAGAGAAGAGCTAAGCCACCGCCCTGCATGACAGAAGTCCTGAGTCAAATGGGTTTGGGCATGATGAATTCCTATGACTACTATAAACATAGGGACAAAAATGAAGAGCAGAATAAGATACAACAAGGAACTGGAATGAAAAATAAGATAAGGATGTTCTCCAAAGATATGAAAGATAAGTTCGTCCAACATCTGATGGGAAAGGAGAAATAATAACGTGTGACAGGTTTAAGGCCGTTTTCCTTTCAGTAGTTGCTTTAAAAAAGGAAGTTTATTTAAAATGGTTAAGTAGCTGTTGTGAGCAGGATGAGATGTTAGTGATCCTCCCAGAGAAGGCAGTAAGGACAGATGAGGTTCCAGGGTGGAACAGGAGAAGAACAATCAGGGTGACGCTTTCAGAAAAGAAGGAAGGGAGGTGCATTGAATTGTCATTAATCAACCTGATTGCATTTTCTGAAAAAAATAACAGAAAAGTGTTTGTAAGATGCAGGAAACAGCTAAATAAGAAAAGTCAAGGCAGGTTTGCAGATAATCAATTCCACCAGTAAGATGCTGAAATATCCTTGCCTGTCTAGATAGCACTGACAAGGCTGCAGACCTTGATTTGGGAAAAATAATTCAGAAATGATAAGCCAACGAATCCATTTCTAGAAACTTCTAGACATTTCTAGAAAAGAGAGCAGCTGGAAAATATTTTAGCAACCCTTAAACACAAAATGACTCCTGAAAAGAGGAAAAGGTTTGTTCTTCTTGTGCACTGTGAAAGGAGATAGAATAATCAAATTACAGAAATTACACTTGCACTGGTATTTTGAAGTCCCAAGTGACTGAACTGTTCCAGCTTGAATTTGCTGCAGTAAATTCTGTCCTCTCTTGCACTGCAAACCAGTCCTGTCCCACAGTAAGTGGTCTGTTTACACGAAATGCTCTCCTTTGTGGGAAGTTGATCTGGCAAAAATCATTGTTATACCTCAAACAGTGAGTCACTGAGCTTCCTCTGTAGCAGGACAAATGAAACAACTCTCACAGTCATTCAAATAATCCCTGCAGATCATGAATTCAGATGGTTGGAAATCCTTGCAGACAATCATTATAAAATTTCCTTCCTCTGTACAGAGGCTCCTTCTGAATAATAAATAAATAAATAAAGAGTGCAAGAGAACCAGGGTAACCATGTGATGCTGCTCCTGCTCAAAGAATATTCGCCTATGATATTTTTAATTTGAACCTATGTACAAGAGGGTGGAAGATGGCAGAAACAGGGGCAGTTGCCTGGAAATCTGAAGATCTTTTCTTCCTTTCCACAGCAGGTTCCTAAGACAGGCCTGCAAGGCAGATGGTAGCAGCAGACAGTTCAGGAGAAGTCACAAAGCCCAAATTCCCCATGGGCTGAATGGAGAAGTTTCCAGACCAATGTCAGGATGGTGGCCACCAGCAGGATGCTTGCAAGGGTAGGAGCTTCCTGAAGGTCTCTCTTTGCTTTTTGCCAAATTTTGGCTTTACAGATTCTCATAAAAAAACCAGCAGGCGATTCCTGCAGGGGCTCTGGCCCCAAAGAAACACCCTCCCAGTCATGCCATGGATGTTCATGGGCCCGTAGGGGCCTTCCCTTAACAGAGGTGGAGGTGGAGTCTTTGCTGAGACAATCTTGCTAGAGTACAGTACAGTGGGGATTCAAAGCATTTCAGGAAAAACTGGAGCTGTAAGATGAAGTCTTCCTCCTGGGCAAGAGATATGGGCAGTGGGGTTCCCACAAAAGGTAGGCATTGCCCCTGGCTGTGCATGTGGGATCACAACATTGTGTATTGTGTATGTTACACAACTGGAATGAATCAGACCAGTCAAGGGTTGCCCAATTTCTAAATTCTAAGTAGCCCTTGGCCAAAAATGAAGTCCAGAGAGGTTTAATCCAGACCAGTGTTTACTGTAAAACATGTAAACATTCACGTGTACCATGTTCCCACTGAAAATGCTAATAGCTCCAAAGCAGGCTGTGTGCTTCAGATGTTTTCAGTGCTAGTGAGGGATTTTTTAGCATCAGAATTTTAACTGAGCTTGCTGTGGTATGGAGCCCCTGCCAGTTAATTTTAAGTTGTGCTTCTGTGAACAGAAATGTGCCATTCTGATGCAGCATGTGTGCAGTGTAGATATGGGGCAATTATTGCTATGGCCTGCTGCCATATCACCATATTATTATCCCTTGAGAGGGAAACAATGTAGATTTATGCTTTGCTTGAGTTCTTTATTTTGGTTATTTTTTCCTGCCTGGTTATTTTTAGTTCAAAATTGTTTCAAATTATGTCAAGGACAGGAGAAGTTGAACTAAAACCATCGGAAGTGCTGCTGTCTGTGAGGGATGTTTCTGTGAACAACAAAAGCCAGCGATATGTTCTATTGCATAACCCTAAAGAAATCTTTAGAAAGCGAAGTGCTGCCTCTGTTATCTCCTGATAGTCTCCAATCCAACTCATCCTGATGTGAAGAAGCTGGCTGTCAATTTTAGCAGCTGCAGGATCACAGGCTCTGATGTGAAACAGCCACTTTCAAGAAAAAACATGTCTCTGTGTAAGGACATGAGCTAGCTGGCACAGTCCCTCCACTTCCACTCCTTTTGAAGAAAACATATTATTCAAACCCCGACATCACTTGCAGGTTTATATCCTCTGCTCAAGACATTTTACATCTCCCTGGGCTATTTGCTTTTGGAGACAGACCCATGGTGTTTCCCAGAAATTAATTAACAAATTCACAAGCTCTTTTTCTGGCTTGGGAAACAGCAGCATGGATGAATGCTCCACTGATAAGGTTTTAATGTTGAGTTGTCAGAGGTACAGGTACCTGACAGCTCTTGAAGATTAATTATGGAGCACAGCTTTCTCTGTTCCTGTCTGCCTGCTCCGAAGAGACAACTGTGTTTCCTTCCCTTTAATGAATGTGTGCTGTAATAACAGCTTGCAAATATTTTACCTCTGGAAGCAATTACTGAGTTTGTTTTAAAAGCTGAGCTAACACTGAAGACATGTTTACTCTCCAAGTAGACACCCTGTATTTGAGCTATTACATTTCTTGTTACTATTTTTAAACCAGTGTTCTGCAGTTGTGAATGCAAGTTGCTTCATCTGCTACAGCAAATACCCTAATTTGTTAATAAATTAGCAAAAGGGGAATTGAGGGAGAGGTTCAAGCAAAGCAATGTGTTGGGAAATCACCGCAATTCCAAATGCAATTAGAAGTGTGTGATGCTGCCAGACTTTGTGGAAGCCATAATGAGCTGTGTAATGCTCGCAGCCCCTCTGCTCCCCTCCCTCTGAATGCTTCTGCACTCCCTGGTGCCTGCAGCTCCTGCCCCATTGCTTTCTGTCTCCTGTGGGAAAACAATGGCAGCAGCCACGGGCAGGGCTGGGACATGCTGGCCTCCACTGTCACTTTCTAAATCCTTTCTATACCACTGTAAACCTTTATCTCGAACAATCTGTACAGATTAGGGCCAATCTCCATTAGTCTGCTCTTGGAGTAGACTCAGATGATTTTCTTCTCAGTTAATAATTGTCATGTCAACTAATTACTAATTTAGTGGAGACCACCTTTGGAAGTGGCCAGGAGGTTGGCAGGAGTCTGAGTCACAGAGTCAAATTCAAGGCAAGCTGTACTTTTCTGAATATGAGGGAGCTCAGGAAGATGCAAACTGGACAAGTGAAGTTACTCACAATTTTTCTGTGTTATTTTTCCTTCCTTTCCTGGAGGGAAGCTTGGTGTCAAAATCCTTCTCTAGCAATTAGGAAATGTAGGCAGTGTATCACACATCTTGTGTTCATGGCTCTCTGTGTAAAAACTAATAACACACCTTTGAGAAGGAGGCAGCATTATATCCACAATGGGTCACACTGAATTTTGGGAAGGGTATCCCATTTCCCCTCAAAAATACTGTGCTACAACACCAGCACAGTGTGGGAGGCATCAGAGCCACCTCCTCTCTGCCACCACCATGACACATTCAAGGTCAGGTTGAATGGGGCTTTCAGCAACGTGATGTAGTTCAGGATGTCCCTGCTCAATGCAGGGGCCATGGACTTCAAAGCTCCCTTACAACCTAAATATCTCTAAGATTTTATGGTGTTATTTCTACTCAGTGCAGCCCTCTACCCCCATCTTTCCTTTGCTCCTTCCCCTTGTACTTCCACTGATCCTTTTTGCTCCATTGCTTGTCTCCTTTTGGCATTTTGGTGAAGAGAGGAAAAAGGACAACAGACGGAAAATTTCTGCTCCTCCTGTCCCTGGGAGCAGAAAGCCGGTGCAACACAGACCTGGTTCTGCTTCCTTCCTATACAGAGGAGTTTAGGATTCCATCACACAGTGAGAGTACAAAACTGCCTCATTGTCCCAAAAAGCAATGTAAGAATCTAAAATAATTTTTTGCACAATCAAAGTTGATGAGAGGTCTTCCCACCAAATTCACAAGCAGCAGGACCAAGTCTGTACAATTAAAATGGAGCTCAAACATCAAAGGCAGGCAAAGAAAGGGCACAGCATGAGCTCATGGGATTGTTTACTATGCAACTGTGCTCTCCATATTTTTAAACCTTTTGCTTGAATCTCATTTTCCTTTGAACTCCAGACATGTTAAGGCCCACTAAAATACATGACGTTTTCTAACAAACTACAATGCAGATTAGATCAATTCTTTAATCTCATGTTTTCCTCTTGAATGCTGTAATCAACCATTTTATGCTCAGTTGGATATAAAATTAACCCAGGCACTTTAGCTTTATTTCAGAATGTTCTGTAACACACTGCAAGAATTCTGTATTCTAAACTTTCTAATTTTGCTGAGAATATGCCAGGGTCTTCTCATCCATAAAGGTGAACATAGCCCAGATCTAAACAGAAGGTTCATAGTTACTTTATCGTGAAAAAATTGGGTGAGGTGGAAGCACACAACATTTTGATGGATATTAAAGAGAGGCCACAATCACAGGCACTTTTGTCCAGGGAAAATGAACAACATGGAGTATGCTAGTGAATTTGAATAAATAACTTCAGAAGAAAAGGCAGCTCCAGAAAACATGTTAAAGTTCTGAAAATCCCAACAATAAAACCACAACTGGCAATGTTACTTTTTTAACATTTGCAGTTACTACTCCAGCTATTCTCTGCCAGTGACTGTCTCCTACAGGCAAGTTTTTTCCTTGAGCACATGGGTGGTAACAGTCAGAGAGCTCTCTTCTGCAAAAACAGGTCTCAAAAGTATTGGGAAGCTTGTGAACAGGTCCTTGTGATACTGGAAGGGAGACAGACCTTTATGCAATTTACAGGAAGTGCTTTTAGCAACTTTATGACTACAATTTCTATAAATATCTGTTGTAGAAAAAACACAAGGACACAAAGAAACTTTCTCAGAAAAACAATGAATTGTTATAGGCTGACTATGCTTTGCAAAAACTATGTTCAGAAGCTTTGGTTTATATTTTGAAGAAGTAACCTTCAGCCTTCAGATCCTACTGGGCTAAATAAGATTTTTCTAGAATCTGCCTGTTGCTAGATTCCTCTTCTTCCATTAAGTCCTTTTGATTCTCTACCTGGGCTGGACTAGCATTGTTTTCTTGTAATTCTTGGAATAAAATTTGATCCTGGGCAGAATTGTGGACCATGTAATTTCCCATATTTAGGACTTTTGGGAGCAGGATTTTTGGGGACAGGTGTTTCACAGTACTTAATGCAGCTGCAGCCTTTTTCCAACAGCCAAGTAAACCATAAAATTGTTCTCAGCTCTTCTACAGTATTTCTGGAGGGCCCTGGATGGCAGCCATAGGGGATGGCTTTGATTATCAGTGAAGGACTGTTGGGAAGATCGGTTTGAGTCCCAGCCCAGACACCTGAGAAGATTTCTTTTCCAATCACGTTAATGAATCACTGTGATTAAAATGACGGAAATTTGTTAAAGGTGGAGAAATAGGATGTAATGACCAGGACCACTTGTCCTATTAAGCAGTATTAAGCAATTAACAAAGAAAATATTATTAAGCAATAAACAAAGTAAAACAATTTGAAGTCCCCTTCTGTAATTTAAGGGTTTGTGTCTCCAGTACTAACACCCCACTGGGCAGACTCTATGCCTGGTCTCTCCTCCCAGGATAAAAAAAGCTGATGACTCAATTCTGAGCAACCCTTCAGCCAACCCGAGCTCCTTCTCTCTTTTGGCTCCTCTAGTAAGTAGTCCCTTTTTGACCTTTTTTCCTCTTCTTCAATCATTTCTACCCCAAGACCCAATTTCCCCCAAGACCCTCCTTACTATAATTCCTTGTCTCTCTTGTTTATTATGTATTTTCATGTCCTAAAGCTACAAGCTGTGAAAGATCAGACCAGTCACTCCAGGCCTGTTTTGGCTTGCTGAATTGGCTTAGGTTTTTCTTGTGTTATAGTAATTGTGTAATTTCCTCCCCTTTCT